TTATAGTCCGAAAAATGCGATAAAAATTTGAGATAAGGAAATCTACCTTCGCGAAAGATAGAACAGTAGGCGATGGTTCTCTTTAGCAATAAAACTCGGTATCGAATTTGCGCTTTAGGTACGCGGTGGTGTTTGCACAATATTAAATATGAATTATCATACTGTTATAAAATTCGCTTTTCTAAGATGCAGTTCGTATCACCGGATCGTGGATATTTTGTTCAAGAGAAATACAGTTTTTTTATTTTATTTAAATATTCTTTTGCTACTAGTCTCCTTTCCACAAATATTCCATTTATATACATTTTTACCATCATATTGCTAGTGACAGTAGTTCCAAACATTGTGCAATATTCGGTAAAGTTGATGAAGATCGATATCTAGAAGTGCCATGTGAATTAAAATGTAAGTGCATGCTTCCAGTCCCGAAAAGAGATGATAATACGATTTTGCTCTTCATAGGTGAAAAAAAGAAAAGTTATAGCAGCAGTTCACTAGGCGATCCTATCGGTTTAGTGACTAATATTGTAGCTTCATTGTTCTTTCGTTAGCCTGTTTTTCTGGTACTCGTTTTTCTCGGCCGGCATTTAGTTTTTCCCTCTTTGGGGATTTTTTTTACTTAGCTGGAATGAACAGGATTTGGGATTTCCGTGACAATACTTTAGATCGAAAGCAAAATAGCTAACGTGCTTCATTTTTAAAGGCAAAATAAAGTAAAATATCGGTGCAAAAGCACATATTCGATAAAATTGATGGACATAGGAAGATTACCCAATTTCAGAAGTTCAAAAATCTTGACAAAAATAATAAAAACAAATAATTATTTCCGTGCCAATACCAAATATCAAATTTCCCGTAGGTTTGTGTTGTCGTTAATGCCCCACCGAATCCATGCCGCATAAAGTTTGGTCTTCCACTTCATATATCATTTCAAAGAAGGTGCTCTTTGGGATATTACGGACCATAAGCCTCTGAACATGTTCGGTGGGCTTCGGCAACGGATTTCTTCAAAGCAAATAACAAGAGTCATGTAGCTCGAACGTGTAATTTTAAGCGACCCATGCCGTCGGCATACGACAAATAAATCACTAACACTATATATAAAAGTGTGATTTTATGTAGAGGAAGTTCAAAGCCATCGAATACAATGGTTATATACCCTGGAATTTTTCGTTTTTTTATCGTTTTTACATGTACAAATCGCTAATCAAAATTTTTGAGATGTTGCTAAAAACCGTTAGCTGCTTTTTTCCTTTTCATGGTATATAAAAAAAAGTACCATATGTGGAGAATGAAGAGAGAGCACAGAGTTGCTTTCAATAAATTGCAAAGCTGAGATTCTGTTAAAGTGTGTGAGAAATTGAAGTGAATATTCTGTTAAAAAGGCAAAGCAGTAGTGGAATAATCTGTTAAATTGCAATGCTGCCGGCATTTATATCTGTTAAATTAAAACAATGTAAAAAGATTTTAAAAAAATTAAAAAGCTCTGTTAACCTGACAAATCAATGCAAAAAAAACTTTTGAAATCTCAAACCTATCCAAACAAACAATTGCTTTTCATTCTTTGTTTAACCTTATTGAATATGTTTGGTTATTACAAAAAATACAATATTCATTAAATTTCGTTGTTTGAACATATGATGTGGAGAAGCGTGGTTCCAATTTTGAAATTGGCAAAATCCAGCACGTAGCCAAATTAGCTGAATCTGGTAAAGCAAATTGCATGGTTTGTTTCAGAACTCAACAACCAAATGGTTTGTTTACATATTGAAAATTAACCGAAACGCAACCAAAAGGTTGTGTCTGGTCGAAAGGACCCAATTTCATCATCATTGGCATGATTCATATCAATAGTAGAGAATGCAAACAACAGCTGATTTATTATACAATATTATATATATATGTATACCCAAAAATCTTTTAAATCATTCAAATATATTCGCTTTTTTTAGGTATCGCTTTACTTATTTAGATCTATTTATTTATCTGTGATCAAAAAGATTTCAAAAAGACAAGTTTAGTCTATTTAATGGCTGTCCAACATTTCGACTATGAAGAATATGTCGTAATACTAAAAATAGTTAATATGCAAAAAGAAAACTTCAAAATTAAAAAATTCTTTTTTCTTTAGTTTTTAGTGCCATAATTGTGTAGATCTAAAAATATCACCTTGCTCGGCATATTGGACAACCATATTGAGGACTAGGCTTACTTTTATTGATTTACAGTTTGCTTTTAACTGCACTTAAAATGTTATGTCTAAGATAATACTTATTTTTATAAAAGATGGCTGAAATCTTATTATTACTTACACTTAATCTACAGGAAATTATAATGACTCTACGAATATGACGATTTCTAATGATAAAATTGGGTTTTTTATAAATTCTATGAATAATCTCTGTATGTCGCATCCTTAAGTATTTTTGCGAATTCGTATTTAACTCGCTCTCGTTCTGAACGAGGCATAGCGCGTAGAGAATCCACTAGAGATAAACAATATAATTCAATTGGATCGTTAATAGGTGTTAGTGCAGGCAAATTCGGAATTTGTATAGCTTTGCGTTTAGCTACGTTTGACATGATCTCCTCGGGTGGTACAGGATTCGGACGAGTTCTCTTTGCTAATGGCTCTATAGTCACTTCTCGTGTTAAATTACTAGTAGTACCATTAACATCTCGTTCTGATCCGTTAATATGTCTGACAGTCTCCTTTTCATTTGGTTCGGATTCACTATTATATGCGTTCATAATGGGTGTCAATAACGGAGAGGAACGATTTGAAGCATCGGAATGGCTAGGCGAAGTTGTGGTCTTTATTTTCCTTTCTTCTTCTGGCGATGTTGGGACTATCATTTGAGCTTGAGGATTTGTTCTGACTGATTTCACATTAGATTTGGTTTCTGTCGCCTTCGTTGCTTCTGGTTGATCGGGCGTTTCGTAAGCATCGTCGGGACCGTTGGAGCTGCCATTTACTGGAGCCAAAAATGGTTTAGAATCCGAAAACTCTTCACCTTCTTCATCGCTATGTTCAATCTCTATTACCTCAAAGTTAGAATGGGCTGCCATATAATTATCAGGGAATATATGACTATTACTATCCGCGTCTCTGTAAACAAATCGAAAATTAGTAGGGAAATTGCATGGAGAAGTTTAATGCTACTCACGAACTGCTGTAATTCGTTTTCTGGCCGCTAATACTCTTCTCACGCTTTGGGGTATAACCCAGTGCAGCTTGCTTTAAAAATGATAAGTCTTCTGTAAATCTTCTTTTACGTATATTGGCATTATGTTGTCCTGTTTCTAGGCTCTTTAATTCTTGTAGATAATTATAACGTATATTTTTCCATTTTGTCTGCAAGAAACGTGCTGAAATATACAAAGCGATTGAAAACCACCCCTATTGAATAATGCGTCATATGCTTCTCGTATACTCACAAGGAGCTCCTAATTCTTTGCCAATTTTACTCCAAATTTGTATACGCACAGGATTTCTACGATAATGTGGATGGTGTATATCATATATGGCTGGATGAGCTCGCACTAGCTTAATCAAACGATCATCTAAAATTCAAACATATATAAATAATGTCAATGCGATCTAAACTACTTCGAAGAAAGCTTACCGAATTCGGGCCCATAATTTTCCCGATCTACATAGTAGCGATTTGTCATTTTCGTTTGAATCGCACGACACCTTTTATTTAATATTATCTTTGCAGACTCTTAATCCAAAATTATTTGATTCTTCCTAAAATGTTTGTGAGTAGTCTTAAGTTTCTGCTTGAAGTTTTTACAGTTCTTCAATGCGCATGCCTTTTCTTTTAAGATGTTTGCATGTTTTGCTGGTAATTCATATCAAATGTTGTTTTAGCATTTAAAGACTGCTTTGACGCTATGTTTATATTTAATAATATTCCTTAATTTTGTTTGGCCAATAAGGTAAATATGAAAGAAGCAGCTAGAAGAAGCATGAAAATTTGCAAAGTTTATACAACCCTGACAACTAAATAAAAGTATATCGTAACTGGTGAAGTATCGTAATCGCGTTTTTCCAAAAACCGCTCAAAAAGTAATAATGAAATCCATACTACATAAAACAAAAAACATTAAAATTTTGAAATGGTTAAGATTGGTTAACTTCGACATGCTTGACGAAACAACAAAAAAAAGGGATAAAAGAATAGCAGATTTATAGAATTTGTAAAAGAACGATATAAGAGAACATTTTAATAATATAATAACAGCGTATAATAATAAGATAGTACAAAAATTAACTTATAGATATGTACAAAGTTCGTGAATATTTAAAGAATCTTAATAAAAAAGAATTGCATCATCTGAAACATCTGCGTTGCATCAACGAGAATATAAATTTGAAAGCAAATCAAATGAATCCAAATTCAATCTAGATTAGATTACTAGTTATAAGAGCCCTTTTTTTCCTAGTTTTTCTAAATCTAGCAATAACCTAGTTAAGATGACCTACTTTAGTTATAATCC